CTTAGGAAGAAGGCCGCAGTTCTGTGACTTTGAATTCCCTTTCCTGGACCCTGAGGAACTGAGAGTTCAGCATTCAGCCTCTGACCATTTGCTTGTGTCAGGCAGAAAAGGGCCTTTGGGGTCTTCCTGATGGGTTTTTTCTGACCCTGGCATCTTGTAGGCCTGTGACTCCCAGCATGTCCCTCTGCTCCCCTGGGATGCTAGCCCTGTTGAGACCTGTCCTCCTCTATACTCCTGCATTCTCGGACTGTGGGTGGCTCCTCCTGGGGAGGAGTTCCCACTCCTCCACCTCAGCTGCCAGGCTGCACTGACCCTCACCTAGCTGTAAGCTCCTTACTTGGTCTCAAGGTGGTTGGATTCCTGTCCTTTACAGCTGGGGGCCTGGCTTTGGGCCCAGCCATCAGGGACTGTGTTTCCTTCATGTGGACAAATCAAGTCTGTGGCCAGGGTTGACAGGCTCGGGCAGGTGGGTGCCTGGGCACTTGGGCCCGTAGCTGGCTACTATGTGCGGAAGCTGATCTGTGCTCCTCAGCCTGCACCCAGGGCATTGCCAGAGGAGTTCCAGCCTGGTTTCAACCATGTGATGCCCATGGTTGGGCCAGACGGTACCAGGTGACTGTCCACATTGATGTCAGCTCCACTCAGCAGTGCCCAGAGCAGTGTGTGTCTATGGGCCTTTAGTGTGGGTGACACCTAGTGTGACTAGGAAACTAAAAAGACAGTTGTTATCTGCTCCGGGGTCACCACCAGCTTTGTTGACAAGCTCTGAGCACCTACCCAGCCAGCTCCAGGGTCCACCTCACTTTGATCCAAGGCTTCTTGGATTCTCCTAGAAGCCTGGTCTGGCTGAGGCTCCTGCTAGCTCTGTGCACCTGGCTGGATGCTCAGACAGAGGTAGAGCAGCCTACACCCTGAACTGAGCAGTGAGAGCCACACCTCTGGGTGAAGGGGCCGTAAAGGGTCCTTGCCGGGGCTGCTGCTACACAGTGGGTCACTTCTGTTGGCCACACATTCTCCAGCGAGGATGGGATGAGCTTGAGTGTGGAAAACGGCTTTGTTCCCACAGACCTAGCAGAGCACTCCGCTCTTCAGGGGCATCTCGGCCTGCTCATGCAGTCCTCTGGGTAGTGCAGGGAGCAGTGCCCAGCTTCCCTTTTTGATGGTGGTGACCTGAGTGCTGCTATTCCTTTGTAAACTGGCCTGTCACATTTTGTGCATTTACACCAGTCCTAAGTCTGACAAGGGGCCCTTGGTGCTAGTAGTCAAGAGCGCACTGGAGCCAGGCCAGCCTCACCTTCTGAAATTCCTTCCTTTTGCCTTTCCTTCCTCTGTCCCTTAGAAATGTAGCTCTTGGCCGTGCTAGGCCCCTTCTGCTCTCCCCATGTGCTTCTTGGTGGTCACTTAAGGATGGCCAGTGTTTCATATTGACCAGAGCACCATGGGAACTTAGGCAGCACCCTGGTTCCTACTGTGATGACCTCAGCCAACATCTGGAGTGTTTCTTTTCTCTCCTCTCCTGCTCCATGTGCGCTAAGGTCAGGGCACTAGGTGTGGCTGGGAAGGATGGCCAGACAGGCTCTGGAGATGGGTCCAGGGCCACACTGAGTGAAGAAGTTTGCAAGACATTTTGGGGCAGCCCTGGGAAGCCAAACAGCAGTGAGTTTATTCCCCCCAAGTAATATGGGGTGGGGACAGCCAGGGCTGTCAGCAGCCCATGGGAGGGGCAGGCACCATCTGGTGTGGGTGTCCTCTGGAGGTTCTGCCCACTCGTCTCTGCCCTGGGCTGGAGAGTAGAGCTTGGCCACAGCAGCCTCTTACCCCATTTGCGCCCTACCCCTTGAATGCCAGGCTCTGCCTGCATCCCATGAGCCCTGTGTTGCTGCCTCTGGCTCTGCCCTTGGGCCACGCTCCCTGAGGCTGTACGTCAGGCCCTAGGTAAATGCACGCCTGCAGTCTGCACGGTGTCCACGGGCTTCGATTGGGGGCTGCCCCCACTGATGAGGACGCACACAGTCTTGCATCTGGTCGTCTTGCACCTGGGCACAAGTTCACAGTTGCTCGTGGTGGTGCCTGCTCTCGTGGTGGCGCCTGCTCTCGTGGTGGCGCCTGTTCTCGTGGTGGCGCCTGTTCTCGGGGTGGTGCCTGTTCTCGGGGTGGGTCTTTGTCCTCAGAGTGTGGGGAGGACAAGTGTCCACTGTCTGCAGCACCAGAGGGGAAGTGGCCATGGACAGCGCTGAGGCCGGCCTAGTCAGCCCTCCCCACTGTGCGGCTGGCAGTGGCCTCTTGGCAGGCTCTGGGGGGCAGGACTGCCCCTGTCACATGGGCAGAACCGAGCCCAGAGCCCTTCTGCTGTGGTCTGTAGGCTTTGAACTGACTCTGAGGCCCTGAGAAGGGTCGGAAACCAGAGGTGACTAGTCTTAACTGGCCCTTGTAGAAGGGGGACACAGTGGTCACACTGAGTCTGCCAACTCTGGGGCTCCAGTAGCCCCAGTGTGGTTGATGACATCCTAGGGCAGATGAAGGAAGTCCTTTTTTTGTGGCCTTGACATGTCTCCTTTCTTGCTTTGTGCTCACTTTTAACTTGGTGTTAAAGGGCAAGTCCTTGTCATTGCCTGGTTTTGAGGATGAGTCCTGCTCTGCTAAGTAAGAGGTACAGTTTGCCATTGGGCTTTCTCTCTAGAGAATCTCAGGGGAGTTATCCCAGCTATTTGAAGGTGCCTCCACTAACCCCAGGGGACCCCTATCCCAGGAATGAAACAGCGGGGGCGTCCCAGGAGGTTTTGGCCCCAGCAGACCAGTGTAGCCTCCCTTCCTTGCACATGGCTGCTGTGAGCAGGAAGTCGCCCTGCCTGTGGGTGCCTCTTCCACCACCCCCACCAGGCTCACTCCTCCAGCCACTTCCACAGGGTGGCTGTTTGGTATCCACTGGGCAGAGCCGTGTCTGCCGCAGCCTGGCTTGTAGGGGCAGCCTGGGTGGGTGCACCCCATAGTTCAGGCAACTCAGCAGAGGTGTCTGGCACTTGCCCCAGGTCTCTGAGGTTTCTCGGCAGCTTCAGATGGCGCCGAGTCTTGTGGCTTTTCTTTGGGCAAGACGGAGCCCACTTGCCACACCTGCTCCTGTGTCTGCTCAGACAGGAAGCCCCACCCTGGGAGGGGTCTGTGCAGTTCCGGAAGGGGGCTCTACTGCCCCAGCCAGTGTCCCACCTGTTCCCACAGGGCACATGTGGCTTCTGCGGACAGGACCTCTGCCAGATGACGCTGGCCTAGTTTCCCCTAGAAAGCGGCAACCAGCAGGGGATTTTTAGTGTCTTTCCTGCATGGTTACTTTTTGTATGTTTGAGGAGCCGGCTCCCTGTCTCGAGCTAGTATGCATACTGACACATGCATATGGGTGGTCCTGCCCCTGGGTGGCTGCTGTGGGCACACACAGGCCAGGGCAGAGCTGTTGGTAGTCCTTTCCTTTCTTCCTGGCCCAGGTGGTTAGAGATGCTGGCTGTGGCCCTACTCTGCTTGTTCCTGGAAGGGGCTGAAGGGACTGAAGGCCTCGGGTCGGGGTAGTAGGGAAACCAGCAAGCACACCTCCCACACCACTTGCACCTGTGTACCTGTGTTCCTGTGGAGCCCACGGGCCCTCAGTCAGTATTGCCCTCTCCATAGGACTCCACGTGTCCCTTGTGTCTGAGTTTCAGGGTGACAACCCTATCATGGGGACACCTGACTGACTCTCCCCCTCCCTGACTCCTCCTCTCCACAGAAACAGGTTTGCTGTCCTACTCACATAGGGCAGTTCTGTGAAGGGGCACTTCCCCGCGTGCTCCTGGGAGGCGGGAGGAGACCCTTCTGCTCGCTGTCTGGCTGCCCCTCCTGCTCTCTGGGCCCTTCACCCCAAAGGGTTCTACATGTACGTGGTGTAAGCATGGCTGCCCAGGGGCTCTCGCCAGGGGCCTTGGGGTCCAAGCCCTTCATTTTCTGCTTAGGCCCCAGGCTGGGGGACTGATGGCCTGTTCTCCAAAACCGTTCTGCCTTTTTTTGTGCTCTGGGAGACACCCCACATCATAATTGTCTTGCAAATGGAATATCCCTGTGTGGGGTGACATTTGGGTGGAGGATCACTGGGCCACAGAGTTTGTGCTGCCTAATGCTGGGTGGTGGTGGGGTTTGAACTCAGGGCCTGAGCTTTCTAGGCAGGTGCTCTACCACTTGAGCCACACCCTAGCCCATGCTGCTTGGTTCTGAGGGGACATGTCAGGCACCTGGGTGGCCCAGAACCAGTGCCTGGGATGAGTTTGGGGTCAGGGATGGCTTCTCCACGTGGGGATGTCTCGTAAAGCCGGGAGCATGTGGGATGACGGGGTCCTTAGTGTCGAGAATGTTTCCTTCCTCAGGGGAGAGGCCCCTAAAATGCCTCCGTCCACAGCAGCGATAAGACCCAGGGCCGCCCACCAGCAGTGCTGTATTGGGCTCACACTTGGCCTGGAGCCTGCCACCCTGCTGCCCCCTCCCAGATCCCTTCCGAGCCTGAACACAAACTTGCTTGGTGTCTCACAAGCTGGGCCCTGGCCCCTGCCAGCTGGTTCAAGCCCATTCCTGATGTTCCTCAGGACCCCTCAGGGAAGAGGTGCATACTTCTGAGGGCAGGTTTTTAAGGTTCAGCAGAGCCTCTGTGGAGGCCAGAGTGGATCTTTGCTTCATCCAGAACCTGCACAGCTGTGGGGTGAGGTCACCTGCCTTGTGGCAGGCAGCCCCACAACGCCTGCTCTGTTCTCAGGGAACCTGCTCCTCAGTGCAGCAGGTCTACCTTTTTGCATGTGGCCCAGCAGCTGGCTTGGCCTCAGTGCAAAACAAGCTGACCTTGTGGTAGGTGCATCTTTTGCCTCCCAGGACTCTCTTGTGGCTGTGGAGCTCTGATGTCCCAGTGGGGGGTTTACTCAAGTTGGGGTGGTAGAGAGACCCCATCCCTGGGCCAGTGGTACGAGCTGGACCTTTTGTGTTGATCGCAGGTCTCCTCCGAGCCCTCGGCCTCCATAAGACCCAAAACTGACGACTCTTCCCAGTCTCCTGCATCTTCTGAGAAGGACAAGCAGTCCAGTTGGCTGCGGACTTTGGCCGGTTCCTCCAATAAGGTGCTACACAGGAACCTGTTTGGGGTCCTCTGGGAGGTGGGTCACCTGCTCTGCCCATGGTCCAGGGCTTGGCACTTAACACCGATGACTCTCTTGACAGAGTCTTGGCTGTGCTCACCCTCGCCAGCGCCTTTCTGCTTTTCGACCCTGGTCCCCTGCAGTTTCAGCAAGTGAGAAAGAGATATCCCCCCACCTCCCAGCCCTGGTTCGTGACAGGTGAGTGCACTCAGGAGCCCTTCCCCACCGTGCTGGCAGTCGCAGTGCTCAGCCATCTAGAACTTGAGTCTGTCTGTTCAGTGTGGCCTCCCTGTGGACATGGCAGTTGGTCCATCTGTGCCGCTCATGACCCTGGCTGTGGGAAAACATTTGCAGGTCTCAGTCTTGGAAGCCTGCTGTTAACAGTTAGAGGAGGAGAAAGTATACCTTCTGCCATGGCCAGGGGAGTGACTCCTACCAGGTGCCTTTGTAGGGCTGGTGCTGCGTGGTGGACAGGCCACAGGTGGAGGCTTTTGCAAGGCTCAACACCTGTGCATTTCCTGCAGCTTTTACTCCTACAAGAGCTTCGAGACAGCCGTGGCCCCCAATGTGGCCCTCGCACCACCAGCCCAGCAAAAGGTTGTGAATAGTCCGCCATGTGCCACTGTCGTCTCCCGGGCCCCCGAGCCTCTTACCACTTGTATCCAGCCACGGAAGCGGAAGCTGACTGTGGACACCCCAGGAGCCCCAGAGGCCTTGGCACCTGCAGCTGCCCCAGAGGAGGACAAGGACTCAGAGGCCGAGGTTGAGGTTGAGAGCAGAGAGGAATGTAAGTGAATCTCCCGTGGGTTCAGGCAGGGGGCGAGCTGTGTGGCGGGGCCTGGTGCACCCACCCCCCCACCAGGCCCTTCCTCCAGATTGCCTGCTGACTTTGGCGTGTCTGTCTATCCTCAGTCACCTCCTCCCTGTCCTCGCTGTCCTCTCCATCCTTCACCTCGTCCAGCTCTGCCAAGGACCTGAGCTCCCCAGGCGTACATGCCCCACCCACGGCTGCCCCGGACGCCGTAGCCCATGCCGACACTCCAAGTGGACTGGAGGCCGAGCTGGAGCACCTGCGGCAGGCCCTGGAGAGTGGCCTGGACACTAAGGAAGCCAAAGAGAAGTTCCTGCATGAAGTGGTCAAGATGCGTGTGAAGCAAGAGGAGAAGCTGAACGCTGCCCTGCAGGCCAAGCGCAGCCTGCACCAGGTGAGGCCACGGGGTGAGGCTGGGCACTTGCAGGCTGCCCAGCACTCCCTTAGGTGCCTTAGCAGGCCCAGGGCCTCGGGTAGTTCTCATAAGGGCCCAGCTGCAGGTGGTGTGATCATCTTGTGCTGAGGTGGAGCCCAGGGTCTCAATAGCTAATAGATAGGCCCTATGTCACCAAGCTACACACCCAGCCCTTTTTTACATCTTTATTTTGAGATAGGATCTCACTGAGTTGCACAGACTGTCCTCAAACTCTCAATCCTGCCTCACCTCCCAAGGAACTGAGATTATAGATGTGGTCTCCATGCGTGGTCAGATGCGACCACTGTGCCCATCTGGTTGTGACCATCTTGATGTCCAGAAATTCCTCTGTGCTTGCAGGAAGGTCCCCACGGTGGGCTTTGCTGCACCACTCTCCTCAGGACCCACACGAGCCACACACCTGCGAGGTGGCCCCAGTCACAAAACTGACTTGTTCTTTGGCATTGTGAAGGTGGGCTGCTTTTAGTGGCGAGTGAGGAGCAGCTGTGCTGAGACAGTCCCTTGCTCTGTGCCAGGGTGGGTGCTCTCACTCCCCGAGCAAGGCTGTGATCTGCAGGCCTCTGGCGCAGAGCAGAAGGGCTCTGGGAGTGATGCTCCTGGAGACACGTCCACACCCCGCGTGCTCATTGCCTGCCTGGTCCATCTTGCTGTTCCCTACGCCACAGCTGCATCTCCTGTGCCTCCTTTTCACATCGTCTTGTTTTCTCTCGTACGATGGAGGGAGGCCCAGTTTGCACACAGCTGCCTGGGGAGAGCGGGGAGTGCAGGCTACCTGGTCTTCACTGGGTCTTAGCGCTGGCTCCATGGTGCCCAGCTGCACCGCAGGCCCAGCGGGCTGAATTCGCACCTCTCAGCCTTCGTCTGGCAGCTTCCAGGCTGCCTCACATGCGTGGGCTTTAGCACAGTACAACCCTGTCAGTCCTCAGGGCTGCGGGATTTCAGATGCTCTCCGTGTGTCTTAGTCACTCACCCCAGCCACCATTGTCCTGGTTCTGGGTGGGGGTGTGATTCCCACACGTGTATTCAGAGGAGTAGGGAGAGCGAGGGCGTGAGTCGTGGTGTTCTAACAAGTTGCAGAGGTGGGCAGATGGCTCCATCTGGCTAAGGGGCAATCTGCCCTGCAGTGGCCGTCCCCCAGGGCAACTGCCAAAGCCCTGCTGCAGCCTTGATGTGGCTGACGCAGCCGCCTGCTGGTGACAAGCACTCTGTTGGTGACAAGTGCTCTGTGATGCAGGCTGTGGGAGGGGAGGCCCTGGGGTACCCATCAGGAGAGGAGGAAGGAGGCTGTGGCAGGTGGGAGCAGGAAGGAAACCAGATGCAGGGTTGACAGAGTGGGCTGACAGTGACCTTGAGCCTACGTGCTACCTCCCTCCTAGGAGCTGGAGTTCCTGCGTGTGGCCAAAAAGGAGAAGCTGCGGGAAGCCACGGAGGCCAAGCGAAGCCTGAGGAAGGAGATCGAGCGCCTCCGAGCCGAGAATGAGAAGAAGATGAAAGAGGCCAATGAGTCGCGAGTGCGCCTGAAACGGGAGCTGGAGCAGGCGCGGCAGGTCCGAGTGTGTGACAAGGGCTGCGAGGCTGGCCGCCTGCGCGCCAAGTACTCAGCCCAGGTACTGGGGTGGGCAGGGCGCAGTGTTGGGCTGGAAGACTGAGAAGCACAGGGCACAGCGGCTGCTGCAGAGCCCAGGCCAGGCTGGATCCCTCACCATGGTGGTGGTGGTGGTGGTGGTGGTTGGCTGAGCTACTGTGCCACACCTGGAAGGCCATGTATGGAGTGGGTCCAGCAGATCTGGACCCAAGTATGCTGGGGGTCATCCTCCAGAGGCCATAGGTGGTAGCCCAGGCACCCTTCCACCCCACCAGGATCACTGTGGCCCCAGGATTCCCCTCCCAGCTATAACCTTCCCCCTGCTTATCTAGAAAGCCTGAGCCAGGCCAGGGATGCAGGGGAACCCCAGAAAAGGCTGGGGTTTGCCCAACCAGGGTCGGAGAGATGGGCAGTGGTGGCTGTAGCACTGGGTACACAAGTGTGCATGCTGGTGGACCCAGGCCCCTGTCCTGGTGCCACCTATGAGGCTCTGCCATGCCCTAGCTATTGTACCCTTCCTCCCTCATGAGCCCAAAGATGGAGGGAGACAAGTGTGTGACACCAGGGCAAAGGAGGAGCTAGTGCAGAAAGATGGGGTCTCCAGCAGGAGGTGCTGGCAAGGTGGGCACTGCTGATTGCTTGTGTCCCTTTTCAGATTGAGGACCTGCAGGCAAAGCTGCAGCATGCAGAGGCTGACCGTGAGCAGCTGCGGGCTGACCTACTGCGGGAGCGCGAGGCCCGTGAGCACCTGGAGAAGGTGGTGAAGGAGCTTCAGGAACAGCTGTGGCCCCGGCCCCGGCCTGAGAACATAGGCAGTGAGGGCAGTGCCGAGCTGGAGCCCTAGCCGGTCGCCACCTGCCATGGCAGCATGGACCCCAGCTTGGCGCAGTAGGCAGTGGTGCGGGGCTCTGCAGGCCCGGCCCGCTCCTCTGCGGCCACACAGCACAACGTCCCTACTGTGCCTATTACCAAGCAAGTGTTTGTAACCACAGACTTTCGGAATCCACTGCAAAATTTTCTACTGGCCAAGTTCGAGTGAGCAAGCTGTGTCCCCAGCTGCAGCCAGAGTCAAGGCTGGCTTGGCGGCTTGTGGCTGGTCCTCTGCTTGCTAGAACATTCTAACATTTACACTTTTGTTATAAGCTATTTAAAACCAATAAGGAGACTTGATATTCAGAAAATCAACACGTTTTTTAATGACTTAACTTTTAAAGGCCCTGACACGCGACGCCATCTGGACGCCGCCCTGGCGGGCCTGGGAAGCCATCACTGCTCATCTGTGCCCGCGGCTGCAAGAGGGCAGCAAGGGTTTTCTTCAGAGTCTTATTTTTTCAGCGACAAGAGCCCGGGTCTTCCTGCTCTGCCAGGAAGAGCAGGGAGAGTGCCGCGTGCGAGATGAGCCCAAACACTGCCCGCCTTACCGATGCCCGCTCCGCCCGCCAACACCGCTGCCACCCTGCGGGCACCAGGAGGGCCAAGCCGCACAGGAGCTGTGGGGAGAAGATGGAGACCGTCCTGGGCTGCTCTGTGCTCCAGGTGCCACCTGCTCACCTTCACCGCAAGGGCTGACCTGTGTCAGGCGGCTGTGGCCGGATGGGCACGCCCTCCCCCCACCCCCACCCCCAGGAACACATGCTGCTTGATGGCCATCCAGTTGCAGCTCGGCAGACAGCGCTTGTCATTTGGGGGCTGGGGCTGCAGCATTGGAACAAAACACAGCATTACATCACTTTTTGTTGTTGTTTGTCATTTAAACGTATATTTAGAACTGCACTTTGTCAAAAAAAATCCCCCCTTCTCTTTTTACTCCCCAGTTAACTGAGGTTTTTACTGATTTCTAGAGCAGTTCAAACCCTAAGTGCTCCAGCGCTTAGAAATCCCCTCTGGTGCTTGGTTGAACAAGGGAATCACAAGAAAATGAAAATGCAGAAACTGAACTTGGGGGTCGTTCTGTGCCTTCCAGCATCTTGTACAGCAAACCCTGACTCCTGTCTTTTTACCCCCAAAATATCGTCTTCAGTAGCGATTGAATCTGCCACTGTCAAAATACGTTACTTGCATTTATTCCAAATAGTTCGTTATTCCTCACTGTTTATGCAAATTGTATGAGGTTTCTTATGCCCAAGCTTGAAAATGATTTCCCAGTAGACAAGAGGCCGCCACCCATCCTACAGTTGTGGTATTTATTTACGTGAGAAAGATCACAAGGAATTCTTTGCTTGAGTCTTGTCACCCTGGCAGCCGCGAGTGGAGGGAGCTGGAGCGCTTGTGCAGGTACAAACGGCCCCAAGGGCCCCGGACCGCGGCAGTGACCAGCAAAGGCCAGAGACTGCTGAGCCCTCACATCCATCCGGGTGCCGAGGTCGTCTGCAGGGTTTCGCCCTTGGTTTACTGAGGGGGCTCAGTTGCTGCTGGGATCCCCCCTCCTTCTGAAGTGCAATGCAAAAGGGACGTCATGTATATGCAGCGTTTGTTTGGAGTTTTCCTTTTGCTTCTTTTCTTTTGCAGTTATGAAACCTGTATGCATGGGATTTCACACCTTTCCTTAGGTACACCCATCCGTGGGCATTATTACCGTGTCTTGTAAAGGGTCGGTTTTGTTACACAACATGCAAAATGCTGTTTTCGGCCTTGTTTTTCTAGAGTTGTGTTTTTTCAGTCATTTCTTTAAGGGAAACTAAATGGTTTAGTTGGAGCAAAGTTTAAATGTGTTGGTGTGCTTCTGTGTGGCTGTCCTTGTCGCCAAGTCCAGAGGTGGCAGTGAGTCAGGCCCTGCTTGAGTCCTTAGCTCCAGAGGGACATGCTTTTTCTCAGCTGTGTTGGGCAGTCTCTCCTTGCCCCACCCCTGTCACCATCATGTCCCGGCCTCCTTGGCCCAGCACCGTCCCCAGCATCAGAAGTGCTGTGTCTGCAGTGGGGATTCTTCCCCCGCCATGTGCCAGCTAGACCTGAGCCCCTAAAGGTCCTGTCATCTCACGAGTTGTGCCACGTGGGCCCCTGAGGCTGTGGCAACTTCACCAGCAGCTCACGCTCACTCTGGGCCTTCCGGGCAGTTCCGTGGCTTCTGCCCTGCTCCTTGGGTCCCTGCCCAGGTGAAGCTGCCTGACCACAGGGTTCTCCACCACAGGGCCACTGGACTGAGGGCACAGGGGCCACACGTGCCTGGCTCCCCTGTTAGTGAGGCTGCAGGTTAGTTTCTTTCGTAAAAGGGAGAAGAGGTTTCCACCGTGCTGGCTGTCGACTCCCTGTGTGTAGAGCCCATTATCGAGATGGTTGTATCAGTTGAATCGCTCATTATTTCTGTTCTGAAAGGTTTTTAACGAAGGGAAAACCAACAGCAATAACACTCATATCCGTGAGCAGCTAACTCGTACACGATCCCTGCTTTTCGTACAGAACTAGCCAATGTAAAAACAACTTTTTCATGTCACACCGCTGTATTACACGTGTATGTGGTGGTTCCTTTTTCAGAAACTTTTCTTACCTGTAGTTTTGTTGTTTTCTGGGTTGTTTTTAACTGAGGAACAGAAGCTCATCAGCCAGAGAGGATGGAGCCGCCTCGGGGCAGTTTCCCACTTGGCGTCCTCCTCCGTGGCCCTGCCCGCTGGCCCCATCTCCGGCCCAGGCTGGTCCTCTGCACTCCCTCCCCTCCTGCCCGCAGCCCAGGGCCAGGGGAGACGCATCTTTCTCTTCCTGCTTTAAGTCGTTTTTTTTCAGTTAAGGATGGAAGCCCCACCTCTACCTTTATAACCAGCCGGAGCCCCTGCATCCTCTGTGTCCTGCGCTGCTGCTAATGACAATTTGATGGCTTACTCTGCTATTGGAAAACTATTTTTATGTCATTAATGTATGCTTTCTTGTTTATAAATGCCTGATTTAAAAAAGGAAAAAAAGAAAAAGCTTGGCATATTTATCTATTTCTCTGTGTACCTGTTAGTCCTTTTGCCGCACCCCCCCCAAAAAACAAAAAACAGAAACAAAAAACAAATGCCCTCGTACAGTAAAGGGTTTTGAAACAAGGGCCGCCGGGCAGCCATGCTCAGGGTCCCCAACCCCTCCTCAGGGCCAGGTCCTGCAGGAGAGGGAAGGAGGGCATCTGAGAAGGTCAGACTGCGGACCTAGGGGCCACACGTCCCTCAGAGCTGTGGGTGTCAGCTGGAGCCCTGGCCTTGGGGCCCGGGTGGCCTTGGCCAGGGCTGTGGCAGGGCCCTTCCTGTCTGGGCCTCCACAAGGCCCTGCAGGAGCAAAACCCTCTGAGAAGTCTGAGGTGGCAAAGGGCACAGCTCCCCAGAGGCAGGGCAGTACCCCAGAAGGCCACCTGTGTCATCTGATAGGGAAGGCAGTAGCACAGCACCCTGGACCCGGCACACTGCCCAAGGAGGAAGCAGGGTCTCTGGTGACCCCACCCTTATGGAGCCAACCCCAAGTTCTGCCTGGGTGTGGAGGGGTTGTTGCCTGCTGTGCCCCACGTGGCTAGCCCCTGGCCTGTAGCTGCCACCTTTCCATTTTCTTCAACCACTTGGGTCCAACCCCTACCCACCCGGCTTCCTGCTCAGGCTAGGCCAGGGTGGGGGACAGTGGGGTGCAGAAGAGCACAGCTGGGGCCAGCCAACTGGGACACAGGGTGCCCTGAAACCCAGGTACGAGAGAGGCATCAGACTGAAGCCATGAGTGCCAGAGCTGGTTGGTCACTCCTTCCAGGGGCTGTGAATGAGTTCTGTGACCGCATGACCGCCCCACGGAGCACAGAGCCAAAGGAAGGATCAGGCCGGGGAGGGGCAGCCCTGGGGTCAAGCGCAGCAGGGCCTAAAGGCAGCAGTGGGTAGGGGACGGACAAGTGGCCATCACTGTGACCAGTCCTGAAGGGAGGGGAGGTCAGAGTGGGGGCAAGCAGACGGCCCTGGGCTCAGGACTCCCCTCGTCTACACCAGTGGAGGCCTCTGCAGAGGTTGGCAGGCTGCCCGTCTCACCTCTGCTTCAGGCCCCTGTGCCAGCAGCTTTCAGCACCCCGCTTTCTGGCTGGTGCCAATTTGCAGTCTCCCATCTCGGGGTGGGGGGGGCAAGGGTGAGCCTGTTGGCGAGGCAGGGGTTCCCAGCGATCTCTAGTTCCTGCCTTGGGGCCTCAACCCATTTTCATTCCTGCCTCACCAACAGCCCTGCCCTGCCCTGCGCTGCCCCACCCACCCTCAGACTCAGCTGTGCCTGTCCGTCTCCCCTCCTGGAGCCACAGCCTGGCCTCCAGCCCCCACCTACCACCCTGTGGTTAAGGGGGCTGACCGCACCGAGATGAGGGCCCTTATCAGGGGAGGCGGATGCCGCCCTTCGTGGAAAGCGGAAGCTGCCTGCCTGGTTGCTGTAACAGCTGGTGCAGCCTGTCCTTCCCCCTGCCTGAGCCCAGCGGGGGCGGGGTAGGTGGGGGCTGCCAGGAAGCCTGTGTCCCAGCCTAGGCCCAGCTGTGGTCAGCAGCACTCCCCCCGCTCGGTAGGTACAGTCTAGAGGGAGCTTTGAGTTGCCCTTGGAACCAGGAAGTCTACCCACTCACACCCAGGCCCAAGCCTGCCACTGTCCCCCACCCCTGTACCTGCTTTGCAGCACCCCTCGCACACACACCAGTCCTAGGATCCCCAACTTCTCTCTGCCGCGATAAGGCAGGGCCAGACCTCATATGAGTGATAGGAACCCTCAACCCCTCTGGGAGAAGGAGAGTCCTGCTTTGGGTAGTTTGGGTCTAGGACCCCATGGGGTCCATCACCTGGAAGCAGGAGGGAACCCCAAAGGAAAAGGAGCCTGGACAATGTGTGTCCTGAGGAAAAGGCCGGGTTGTGGCCCAATAGTGTTGGCCCTGAGAAGATACGAGACTGGGGTTTTCAGGAGCCCCCAGTCGTCCCCACAGTCACCACCCACCCACAGCCAAAACTCAGTCCACCTGCCAAGATGCCCTGGAGAGGGGCTGAGGACAGGATATTTGGGGACTGGATGCCCGCCCACCCCCACTACCCCATGGCCTCAGTGACGCACATGACCATCTGCGACCAGGCCCATGCCAGGTGGGTGAGAGCCTCGGTGTTGGGGGCACCTAGCCCTGGAGCAGGTGGCCCACTGCAGGTGGGGACAGGCAGGGGAGCCGGCCAGCCTGGCTTGTCTTTGCGGTGTCCTAAGCTGGGCCAGGTGTCCGGCCAGGCTGGGATGGACCTTCCTGCTCCCGGACCTGAGCCTAGCGGCCTTCACTGACAGGAAGCTGGGCCCATGTCACTCCTGCTGCGGAAAGACCTGTTCTGGAATCCCAGGGATAGGGCAGTCAGGGAACGAGGGAGCCCAGTGTGGGGACTCCTGTCATGAAACCCTAGCAGAGGATCCCTGCTGGATCTGGATGAGTAACATGGTCCCCGAGCCTCCTGCAGCCACTCCAGCACCACACACAGACATGGCCACTGCTCAGCTCCAGCTTGGAAGAGCAGCTTCTTTCTGGATTCCCAGCTTGGGCTGCCTGACCCAGTCCCAGAGCTCAGGGCTGTAGGGGGTCAAAGGGCTCTGGCATGCCAGGCCTCCCTAGGGTCCATGCTGGCCCATCCCAGCCAGTCATTGGCTAGTCTGCAGTTGGCCCAGCTCTGGACTGTAAAGGGTCCTGGGTGACCATGACCAGCTGGTAGCCTGTCCCCTGCCTGGCACTTCAGACTTCCTGACTCCCCTCCCTGTGCCCCAGACCCCTTCCCTGAAGTGCTGACTTGACCTCTCTGGCAAGCTGGGCCAACAGCTCCTCAAAGGGCACAGTTCCATGTGGGCTCTAAACGCCCACTCCCTGCCCAGTGACCAAGGAGCTGCTCTGAGGAACCAGATGGTTGCCATAGGGAAGGAACAGGTGTCGTGTACCCCCCCACCCCACCCCCCCCCGGTCCTTCTCCTGGGGTCTCCTGCTCCTGGGGACCAGGAGAGTGGGAGGGCCAGGAACAGGGCATGGGGGGTGGGCATCCAGGCCTGGGCACCTCCTCTGAGGTGGGGACAGAGGTCTCCTGGCTTTGGGAGAGCTATGTCTGCTCCAGCAGTGCATGTGTGAGCATGTATACATGTACATGTGTGCACATGTGTGTGTCAGTGCAGGGCTGCACACTAGGAGGGGGGAGAAAGGTCCGAGGGCAGTAGTGGGCCCTGGAGCCACATAGAGCCGCCCTCTGGTGGTCTCTGGGCCCTGTGTACTGCCTCATGGAGACACCCACTGAACCAGGTGACCCCAGTGCTGGGGACTGTGCCAGCAGGGCAGCAGGGCCTGGCAGCCCTGGCAAGACCAGTCGGCTCCCCTCAGATGAATGAACTATGTGCTGTACCCCGCTGGGGCTTTGCACACTTGGGGTTCCTGTCTGAGCCAGTTCTGATGGAGCAGGACAAGGCCTCAAGACTCCTAGGATCTGATCCAACCCTGCTTGGTCCTTGACCTGGTGGAGGTGCAGCTCCTGCCCCAATTTTCCATTTGTAAGGAGAAATCCCAGAAAAGTCACGGGGGGTTAGTGAGGAGTCACCAAGCCATGGGGGGAGAAGTTGGGCCAGTCAACTTTTTCCTCCCCTTCTCCCAGTTTGGCAACCTGTGTAGAACCCCCCATCATGGTGCTTGGTGGCCTCCTGGTGATGTTCCAGAACATGACACGGCCGGGCACAGCTGTGCCACGGTCTTGAGTTGGCAGCTGAGGGTCTGCGTCGGCAACAAAGCACGGTCCCCATCCTGCACAGGCAGGAGCGGCCAGGACACGCGTCCTCATGAGGTGCTGGGCCCCCCAACTCTGCTTTACCCCGGCTTTCTTCTTGCCCCAGAGCGCCCCGGGGAAGGGTGCGTGCGGCGCGACGGCCGCCCGAGAACCACAGGCCTCCAGACACCCCAAATTCCTGCGGGCCGGGCCGGGCTCCCGCGGGCACAGGGTGCGCAAGTCCTGGGGGACCGGGTCAGCGGGGTCACTTTCCTGGGCGGACACCGGACGATCCCGGCACCCTGCGGGTGGGGGTGCGGGGGGGGTCCTCCTAAATGGCAGCCTGGGCCACATGCCGGTGACCTAGGCCGTCACCGCAGACGGGGCACAGGGACCCTCCCGGGAGCTCCGCCCTCCCAAACCGGCCCCGCCCCACAAACCCGCCCCGCCGCGCAAACGGCCCCGCCCCCAGCCCCGCCGCGCAAACGGCCCCGCCCCCAGCCCCACCCCTGAGCAAAATGGCCACGCCCCCAGCCGCACAAAAGCGGCCTCGTCCCCTCCTTCCCCGCCACCCCACGCCATTCGCTTCCCTTCCCCCACCCGGCGTCGGGCCGCGGGGGGCGGGGCGGAGCCCCCTCCAGCTCAACGCCGCTCGCCCCGAATTCCGACGGGCTGGGGGCCCAGGGCTTCCGGCCTCAGGGGAGGGGGCGCGGGCGGGCGCGGCCAGCGTGGGGGAGGGGGAGAGGGAAGGGGAGGGGAGAGGCAGCCGCCCAGCTGGACCCGGCCCAGCGCTGCCCCCAGCGCAGCCCAGCTTCCTGCCGCGTTGGGCCCGGCCGGGGGTGGGGGGGGACCCGGCCCAGGCGGGTACAGCTCGCGGGGGTCCCGGGACCGTACGCGCGGAACAGTCCCCTCCGCCCACGCCGGACAAGCGCTGGGCAGTGGACAGGAAGCGCCCTCTCGACGGGAGGGGTGGCGGGCTGCGGGCGCTAAGGGCAGGCGGGAGCCCGGGGCCCGCGGCCGGACGTCGACGAGTCCGCGCTCTGAGGTGGGCGCTCGGCGCGACCCCCGGCGGCGGAGTCCGGAACTGCAGCTCCTGCTGCCCGTGGGGGATCTGGGTCGGGATCGATCCTGGTGAGAGGGTCCTGCCCTCTGCAGGTTTTTTAGGTCTGTTGGGGTGCATCTTCTCTTCTGTGCTAGCATGGGGTCCACTCTTAAGGCCCCTGC